AATGTAAAAGAATCACGCATTTTGTAATCTTGTGATGTTTCATCTAATTAATGAAAAGAAAACTAATCATCTTCAAAGAAAGGTTAATTTTGAAACTATTTTTCTGTTACATTTGCATTAAATAATTATCTAAATTACAGAAGTATTTCCTTTGAAAGTCGATAATATGAAAAGTGTAAGAATCCTTTTCTATATAAAGGCTGAAGTAATTTATTTATAAACAAGCCACAGTGTTATGAATTTACAGGAATAGGAACGACTTTATCCAGTGTTTCGAAAAGTCTTACAAAAAACTTGTATCTAGGTAAATAATTCGAGGTATATTTATAGTTCATCAATCTTTACGAAATAACATACACATTGGGTCTATGATTTACTAAAAAAAGCAACCATATTTTCGAATAATATTGGCTTCCTCTTTACTGGTATTGAATCGATACGTTTTGTAGCTATTTTATGTAGTTCCATCTATCGCCATTATGTAATTTCTTGATCGTATTAACTTTTTCCGTTGTAAAATTTGATAACTTAAGTGAAATTTAGAGCCGAATATGAAATCTATAAATAAATAAATTGAAATCTGACGTAGCGGGTAATATAAATTGACATTAAATTTTATGGGTTAGAAAATAATATCGACCTTGACCCGAGAATCCTGAATAGCAAATAAAGTAAATTTGGCTTTTCCTCATAGTATCGCAGTAATTTAAACGTTTATGATATATTAATTTCCTGAAACGAGTTATTATATTATTGAATTCGTATTAGTAGAATAAAATTTTCATGAAATTTCCGTACATTTATATTTGGCTTTCACCAACGTATTAATGAAAGGTCGCATAAACTCTATCTTTTCGGTTCATGTAAAATTTAAAATTGAAATTAAAATCGACCCCTTGGTTTATATTTATTGACCTCTCAAAAATATAAAAAATAAAATTATTTAAGTTCTACATTTTTTTCGTGTAACCCACATTTAAAAAATTTATTTTATCAAAGAATATGTTACGAGACCGTAAATAAATTTTTAATTACATATTAATTGTTCAATATACAATCTATAAAAAAGGTAGATATAAATTGCATGCAGAAAAACATCAAATCATCGGATAACATGCCAAATCTAGCAACAACTCATGATTCGAAGCATTGCAGGTCAGGTTTGCCGAATGTTTTCGAAATATTAACAAATACATAATATATTAGGTATTAAATTAAGAATGGTACGAAAGAGGGTTTTATATACATATAAATATTTTTTTTAAAACGTACCAATGATTATGTAAATCACTCTAAATCAATTTTTTGATAAGAAAGACTTTTCAGTTGAGGAATAATGAATGTTAAATTTATCAAGAAATAAAATCACGTGAACAAAGTTTTATTTTTTAAAATTCACTTTGCAAGATATTTGCACGGCCTAAAATTTAAAGCGATATAAATTTTTAATAGATTTTAGTTTTTTTTTTTTATTTTTGTTCATTATCCCTTTTTTTGGGTTGAATTAGTAAAAATGATAGACGTAATTAAATTTATCATTAAGGACATGTACACGGAATTAATTTTGTTACAATAGAAATGTTTCAAAAATTTTCTTTTTTTTTAAAAAAAAAAAAAAGAAGCTCAATTTGAGATACTTGTTTATAGTTGTTCTCTTTGTCTAATCTAATTCCATACTCAAACAAAAACACCTCCGAAATAATTTCTTCAATCAAAAGTTTAAATATACAATGTCCCTCGCAATAAGGGGCTAATAAGTAACAAATAACATGTTGTTTGATATCGAAATTTATCCTTGGAATACGAAAACCATGATTAAACCTTTTTTAATTAAATGAACAAGTTTGAAAAGGTGAACCTAAATAAAAGAAGAGGGAACGTATATATTACTCCAGCATAAATGAACGTTGTTTCTTGTGCATTTTCTCTAATAACGAGATGGGTAATGCGTAATCATATAATTATTAGATAGCAAATAAAATTAAATACTAAAAAATTTGTTTAATAATAAGTATTTTGTAAACTATTCTTCAACGAAACTTCATGGATTAAAGCAATGTAATTGGATTTGTAATTTAACTGTTATATTAAAATCTTTAATGTAATGATAATAAAAGTAGATATTATATATTTAAATCTTTTGGTAAAAATATGTTATTTTTGTATAATAATATGTCATAAACATTTTTTTTTTTTTAAAAAAAAAAAATCACGTTTCAACGCCTGAAATTATTGTCTTAATGGCATATTTTTTTTACTTATAAAGAAAACTTCGGTTTTTTATTTAATCGACAAGATGCATGCCACTTTACTCAAGATACTACTATCACTCGTAAATGAACTTACACCATTCAAATGACTGATCTAAATTAATTAGCATGAAGTTTTAATTTATTTACCAATAAAGTTTTATTTGTATTATAAAGAAAATGATATCCATCATAATGAACTCCAATTGTTCCAAAGCATTTGCAAGAAGTAACGGTTTTCAGCGTATGCGTCTTCTTCATATACGAGACACCTATTCACATGCCGAGAGACACTTGATACAAGGGAAAAATATATCGTTAGATTTGAGACGTCAGTCCGAGCACATTATATAATTTTATTTTATACGAACTTATCGAGTTACTTTTGACAAGGACAGATTTCCAAATATTATAGATTTTTTTTTCTGTAACCGACTGACAACCAATTAAAACACCCCATTTTGCCGACGTTTATTTCATCGATCGAACGTTTTACCAACACCACCAATTTACCGAAAATTAACTGCGTCTATTACTGCCTAAAGAACAACAAGTACTGAATTACATATAGAAAATTTTATTTTTAGAGCACATTATCATCTCAACGAAAACGTACATTGACGTATTTAATAATCGGGAGAATCGAAGTCTTATTGATTGACTATTTTTTTGACAAGTTTAATTTGATTCCTGAAATGTCAAAATAATTCCTTAATAATAACAACATTGCAATATTTGATTAAATAAAAATATAGCTTCAATTAATTAATAATTGAATTTTTTTTTTTTTGCATAAATGCATTCAAAAATTTACTCAAATATAAAATGTCGGTAAAATGGAAATTTCGTTAAGGGTTTATCACAAAATCTCGACAACAATAATCCGACGTTCTAGAATCCTGTATCATAAACGCGACAGTCCATGATCACGTAAACCCAACGGTTCATAATCATATTTAGAATCTCGACATGACAGAATCCCGACAGGACGGCCGACGCATAAAATCCCGAAGATGACAATTTATCAAATTTTTAAGTTTTAAAAAAACTAACCCAACCTTAAATACACTAACTCTAATTCTACATTGATTTTAACCACCGGGGTTTTTTGACCTTCGATAACCTTGCTGTCGGGATTATGTGATCGTCAAGATTTATGCTCCTCGTGTTTTCGTGTGTTTCGGGATTATTATGTCGAGATTTTGGGTGTTGTCTTATGGTTGTCGAAATTTTATGGAACCTGTAGTTAAAAAGTTATCCACCTGGGTTTGTTTGCTTCTAAAATTGATGATTTTTTAATAAAACTTTTTTATGTATTGTAAGTTTTCTATGTAACAGATGTCAGTGAAAGGCTGCGGCTAATCATAATCTGCTTTTTCAGTATTCCAAAACAAATTTCCATACTTAATTCCGAAAAAGAGCACAATGCTGTTTATATTTTCGCTGATATAAAACAATATTTAAATTTTTTAATCGAAAAAATACCTAATTTGGAACAAAAAAAAAATTAGCTGAGAACCTTCACTTTCCATTAATATATATATATCTTTTTACATTAATTGTCAAACTTGTTTAAGCAGTAAAAGGCAAATATTTAAATAATAACAACGTCGTGTGTAGTTGATAGATGAGCAACAACGTTTTTTTTTTGTCAAAATTTGTCACACATACAAAATTTAGGGGAACATCCCCGAAATATTTAATTATGGTATATATAATATGCAATTTTTTATTTTTTAAAAAAAAAACCTTCAAACCTAAAGATAATATTTTCACCTAAATAACCTATATACTGATTATATAGGTAGGTTAGACGCGACACTTCAATCCACCAAAGTAAACTATATATTGATTATATAGACATCATTCCTATTTCATCTTTTTACGTTCCTTCAAATTTTCTTATAATTAGATAACTATTACATCCAGCATTTTATTTTATAAAAACACACATGATGTTTAAACTAATTGAAAAACAATTTTTACTCCTTTTGTTTATTGGAATCATAAAGATAGAAATTGTTTTCTCAAAAGATTTCAATGTTATCCAAAGTAATCAAGGGCTCAAACCTTCAACAAACCTTCGTGGATTTTATAGACAGCAAGAATCCAAGGTTGGACCATAAAGCAGATATTTATTTTAAGACCAAAGTACCTTCATTAAATCTTGATCAAAGTGGAATTACTGGTATTGATTGTGATGACGATAAAATTACACTCCGAGGGAATGATGTTGATAAAGTTAATCAATGGCCCGACAAAGTAATGTTATTAATATCACACAAATGGAAATGTTT